TATCTCTCGAACGAATCAACCGATTTTGACCGGATTAGCGCCGATCGGTGTGGTTTTTCAAGCTCAAGGGCGGATTAGTTTTTGAAGTTGATTGATCGAGCCGTTTAAAAGATATTCCAAAAAAACCACTTTCAAAAATGATTTTTTTCTTATTTTTTTTGAGGTTTTTCAAAATTTCTCAAAATCTATCGGTCCGAATCGGTTCAAATTCTCAGGAGATCTAAGTTTAGCGAAGCCCTTTTGAATGCCACCAACCGCGATGAAATCGGTTCAACCGTTCAAAAGTTATAAGTGATTCACATACTTAGGAAAAAAAAAAAAAACATACATACATACATACATACATACATACATACATACATACATACATACATACATACATACATACATACATACATCGCGGGGATAGTCAGGGAAGCTTTCTGACACCTTAAAACGTCGAGATCTGATAAAAACTCGATTTTTGCAAAACGGGGTAAAACCAATAACTTCCCGATTTTTAAAAATCTTCGATTTTCCTAGCAAGAAGTTAAAAAATATTTAAGTCGATTGAGCATGGAGGCCATTACTGGAATTTCTAATTTCTCTTGAGGTTCTATTAAATTTGATGTCTGTATGTTGTTTTGTCGGAAAGTTAGAGTAATTCCGTAATTTCTTTTTATGTTGAAATTTTTAGATTGAATTAAAGTTAGGTTATTATTTAAGAAATAATTACACTTGGTGTAGGGGGTACATAAATGATGATTTATTACCTCAGGAGGAAAAAAACCCCAGCAAATGCTGAAGAAAAAACTCCTCGAAGTTGTACAGAGTAAGAGTGATTGTGTTATGTATATTTCGAATAGATATTATGTGTACATTTGATAATTGTGTGTAAGAACACAATAGGGGTGAGCTCAACCGCCTTTTAGAAATGCTGGTGTAGGAATCAGTTAAAATTGCTGGTGTAGGAACCAATTGAAATTGCTGATGTAGGAACCAGTAAATGATAATTTTATTCGATAATTATTTGTTATGTAAAAAATATTAATTTAGGGTAATTAATTAATTTTACATTTAAATTTTTTAATGTGTTTAAGTATTTGGTCCTAGCGTGTTAGGCTAATAGACCGGGAACTTCCGAGTTTTAATTTATTGAGAATAGGTTTCTTTGAATAAATTAATCATTAATTGAATCTAATACATATATTATTTATATTAAAAGTTAATTAAGTTACAAAATTATTACAATTGTTACAACTATTACACTATGGTTGAAATTTAATATTTTCTTTCATATAACGATTTTACCAAATTATTAAATTCACAAATATTAATAATTAAAATGTACCTGATAAAGTTGATGAATCTTGTTAATTCAAATTCATTTTAGTTGATTTCACTTATGATTCTATTTTATTTTTACAACTGTTAAAGTTTTCAATGAGACAAGATTACACGTGGTCTATTGAGACTTACTTAAACTGTGTACGATGTTACCACTAGATAGGTCGAAGCACGAAGAGAGCGAACACTCAGCAGTTTTCCGGGTCCGAGATTTTTACGGTCCCTCAATTGTTAATTGGAGGGAGAAACCAATTTCCAATTAGCTATCGAATTTCGGGGACTCTTACCCTCTCTTCGGATGTTTCGGAAAACTACTATAGTGGCAGTCTACTCTGTATATTGATGCACAAGTATAGGTCACAGGATGTGCACTGTACATTTGTGATAATGTATAGGCGCATCTATACACACACATATGCACACAGAGATCTTAATGTTGAATTGTACTTTACTATATGAGAATTTTAGATATCAACATTCTTTAATTTATATATGTAGTTAAATTATTTAAACGCTTAAACTACGTTTAAATAATGTACTCTCTAAAGCTGAAATGGTAGAATTTTCACTTATTCAAATAGTAAATTGAGGAATTACATAAAAATTAGTAATTCTTAATTCAATCTACTACAAATTTAGTAAGTCAGTAGACTTAACATTTGAATTAGTTACTTTTTACTTTTTAAAAAAGTAATATGGCCGAAATTCACTATTGAATTAGTAGTTCTCGACTAATGTAGTTGTGCCCCTAAAACAACATATGTACAGTCTACATTCGGTTCTTCATGGGAGCATCGCATCTCGAGATTGTTGTTGGACTGCGAAGTAATTGATAAGTAAGTAATGAAATGCAAATAAATAAAACTAAAAATATATTATTTTTATTATTTATTGACTTTTAAAATCATCTCATATTTACGATAACCTCAAAGATATTTATTTTCTCAGTTATTTTAATTATTTCTATTGACATAAAATTGAGGTTAAGAATTTTTCAATTAAAAAAAAAAATAAATAACATTTCATTTATAATTGAAAAATTCTTAAATCATAAATGATTTTTATAGTCAGTAAATGACTGTATTACTCTTAATTTTTTTTATGAAAATGAAATTAGCTGACATTTCAAAATTTTTAGAAATTTTTTATTGAAAAAATTTTAATTGAACAATAAAAAAAAACTTCACATGTAAAAAACTTGAAAAACTATAGGTGAAATTTTTTAGAAATATCTTTTTAGTAGTAATTTAATGAATAAAAAAAATCAAAAATTTTTAGACGTCTGCTAACTTCAGTGTTATTTTTTTTTTGTGATTGATACTACAACAATATATTTAATACTTACAGGTTTTGCTAATTGATAGATAAAAGATAATTATACGACACATGAGTATTCATTTATTTATTGACAATTGATTGGACAATTTTTTATGAGAATGGATTTTGCTTCCTTAAGTGTTGATCAGCTGAATAATAAATTGAGGACAGAATTGATTGGAGATGAAGAGTTATTACAAGTCTTCAAAGGTTAAATTTTCAGGATTTTTGTATCTACTGTCTACTAGTAATTATAAAGAGTGTCTCTAGTCTAATTATTTCTTATAAGTCTATTCTAATTATTCATTTTGACATAACATAATCAAGATGCAGGCATTAAATTGTTCTTTGTGTAACGAAAGAGTGCCAGGAGCATTGAATAGCTTAAGTTATCATTTGGTTTACGTTCATGGGTTTTCACTCAATCGTAAAATGAGTGATGAAGGTTTCCGGTGTGGCCAAGATGGTTGTGGTCGTCGTTTTTGTCATTTTTTCACATTGCGTCGTCATATAAGACAATATCATTTAAATAATGATCAAAATATTGAAGATGAAGAAGATATGGGAAATGATGAAGCTATTGATGAATTTCAGCCCGAAGGAATCAATGAACAAGATTATGAGGATCAGCCTCAAAGAATCAATCAAGTGTGTAATGAAAATCAAGATGTACAAGAACCACAGTTTGAAAATAATAATGAAAATATTAATAATAATAATAATGATGATGGTGATGATGATAACAACAATAATAATTATAATAATAATATCAATGAAGACTTTAACTTGCGTAAATATATAGTTCATATGGTCGCAAGATTTCAATGCAAGCCTTCCATGACAACCAATTTGTTATGTCAAATCCTAGAAGAGTGTGAACAGCTTCTCTTTCAGCTGAGAGATCATTTTAAACATAATGTGGAACAGTTTTTTAACACGCATGGATTAAACGATGATGAAGCTAAGACTGTGCTAGAGACATTCGAATTTGATAGTCCTTTTGATGGACTTAAAACCTTAGATGGACAAATTGAATCATTAAAATCGTTCAGTCACTATATAGAGCCAGTTGAAGTTCCTCTCGGTTATAGAATGGACAGTGTATTAAAAAGAAATAGTACAGTTTATAAGCCTAAACGAGTTTTAGAAACTTTTCAATATGTTCCTGTGATTCCTACCTTAACTCTAGTTTTGTCAAGTCCAGAAATTCGAGAGTCAGTTGAGTCTGAAGAAAAATCGCCTGCTGGAATTCTCGCTTCTTTTTTGGATGGAGATTTTGTTAACCATCATCCATTTTTTTCTCGGTATCCTCATGCTTTAAGGCTACAAGTATACTATGATGAATTGGAAACTACAAATCCTCTAGGTTCAAAAACTGGTATACACAAATTAGAATTATTTTACTACACAATCCAGAATTTACCATCACAAATAAATTCTGAACTGAGTTCTATACATGTCTTAGCTATGTGTACTGATGTGGATGTGAAGAAATACGGGTTCGAAAAAATACTTGCTCCATTTATCGAAGAATTGCGCCTATTGGAAAGTGACACAGGGAAGCTAATTGAAACAACAACCGGCAGTTATGTGCTACGAGCTTCTATTACTGCATTTTGTGGTGATGGATTGGCTGTTCATGACGTGTTTAATTTTTTAGCGCCTTCATCTAATCATTTTTGTAGGATGTGCATGTACAGTAGGGATAATTTACACAGTGGCCACACACTACCTGTTTTGAAGAGAACAAAAGAACTCTATGATGAACAAATAGCATACTTGAAACGAACAAATTATTCTGCTGAATCAAAAACTAATACGGGTCTTCGAGGAGAGTGTTGTTTACATCAATCTAAATATTTTCATATCACTAACAATAAAGTCTTTGATATAATGCACGACTTATTGTGTGGCATTTGTCCTATGATTTTAAAATTGATCTTAAAAGAATACATTTTAGTCCAAAAAAAATTTGATTGTTCTTATTTTAATAATAAAATTATGTCTTTTCAATATGGACTCACGGAAATGACAAATAAGCCATCGGCTAATTTTACTGATGGAATCCTTCGTAGAAATGAGCATACGTTAAGTCAAAAAGCCATGCAGATTTGGTGTCTTATGCGAGCATTTCCGTTTTTAGTTGCTGATAAAATTCCATCTGGTGATCAATACATGGCTCTTGTATTAAATTTATTAAAAATCATGGAAATTGTATTTGCACCAAAAATTAATGATCATTACTTGATAATTTTAGAGAATCTTGTTGCTAATTTTCTAACTAATTTTCGCATGTTTCCTGATGTCAATCCAATAAATAAGTTTCATCATATTGAACACTATGTTGAATGTATAAAATGGATGGGACCATTGATAAATAATTGGTGCATGAGATACGAAGCCAAGCATGGAGGCATTAGACAACGTGCTCAAAATGTTCATAATTTGAAAAATTTACCCAAAATATTAATAAGACTATGTCAATGTGAGCAGAGTGCTAAATGGGGCTCAAAAGACGTGAAAATTTGTCGATTAACAACAAATAACAAAAACATCGTTGCAGTTGAGAATACATTAAGCTCTGAAGCTCTCTACAATTTGGATTATATCGGCACTGATGAAGTATTTTGTTGTAACTCTACAAAAGTGAACGGAGTTGAATTTCGAGTCGGTTTATATGTTTGCTTACAGACTCCAAGTTCTCGAGAAGACAATTTGCCTTTATTTGGCTACATTCAAGAAATCATCATCTTGAGAGATGTTGATGTATACTTATTGACTTCAATTTGTACAACGATAGAATTTGAATCAAATTTGAATGCTTACCACATAAAACTCAATGACGATGATGACAATATTGGCCAATTTGTTAATACAAATGATCTATCTCATTTTAAGCCATTTTGTAGTTGGACAAAATCAGATTCAAGTAACTTGTATATAAGTCTTAGAAATATACTATTATGATTGGTCAAATGCATTCTATTACCATCAAAAGCTTCAAATATGATTTTAATATACACCTGATTAAAAAAGTGAATACTCCTAAAAGTATCAATTTTTAAATTTGATGTTGACACACATGTTTATCTTTTATTTTCATTATTAAGTAACAATTTAGTTTAACACTTGTAAATTTATATTTTTTAAATATTACTTCTTATTATTTTTTAGTTATTTTTCTTGTTGTATAAATAAATAGCATATAATAATAAAACTTTATCTACAGATCAGTTAATTGACGGGACAGCTTTTTTGGAATTAACTGAAAAAGATCTTGTAGAACTCCATATAAAAATGGGACCAAGAAAACGCCTGCTAAAATACATGGAGTCCGTAAAACCCAAAGAGACGGTCAATACTGTGTTTCTTGTAGAGAGCAATGGCTCTCTTACATTAGCGGATGACAATAATGTAGAAAAATTTCCTTCATTCATTGAAGGACATCCTCTAAACATCGCAAGTACATTAAATGATAATAATCAATCTCAACCATCCACATCATCAGCTCATTGTTCATCTGCACCTTCAAAATCACCACAAACATTTTCAGTAATTTATTTATTTTCCAAAAACTATAATTTCTAATAAATAATGTTACTTATACATAATATTTATTTACATAGAGATATGGTACTGTTAAAGCAACTTTACTTAACCATCCGCAAGGTTCAGGGATATTGAAGTCTACTAAAAACTCTTGGAATGAAGAAAATCGGAAGGCTTTAGTACGAATAATGGTGGCTGAATTAATAAAATTTCATTCACAGTAAGTTCTTCACTTTATTTTAACTGAAAACTGAATTTTCATTTTGTTTATATTAAAAATAAATCTCAAATTTTAGCTATCCTCCCAATGAATCAAAGCAAGCACTTGCCAAGGCAATAGTTACTGAATTCCCACCACTCAAGGACAAAGCAAGAGATCTTGGATATGTAAGTATTTTGAATTGTTATTGAAATACATTCTATTAGTGAATTTATAGCTACATCAGTAATTTTTTAGGAACACTTTTATAATGAAAATTCTGCAAATAATCGGGTCTTTATTGAAAACCGTTTGGCACAAACTCGGAAAAAACTCACCCCATCAAAAAAAAAGTACAAAACTACCAACAATGTAAAAAGTGTTGTCAATAAGAATAAAGCAACTGTGAATCATTCTCCAAATGAATATTCAGAAGAAATAATATTACAAATAGTATATCAATTTACCGTTATTTATAAACCTAGTTAAAATTTTTAACATTCATGTACTATTTGCTTAGAAAATATTCCGATTTTTATTTGTTGTTATTTAGATTTCGTCAATGAAGTTAAAGATGCCGACTGACCTTAACAAACGCCAAATCATATCCTGGATGAATGATACAAGAAGTTACAGGCGTAAATGGATTAATGATACTAATCCTACAATTAGTGAAATTCTTGACATGTATCCCAAGCTTCAAGTCTATGACGGAGAGATGGTAAGACAATTAATTATTATATCTCATAGATCTGGGATTTAAACTAAAAAAAAATTCAAAAAAGTAAAATTATTTTGGGTAAAGCAAAAATTTTTTTGAGATAGGAAATTTTTTTTAAGGTCAAAAGAAACTATCGTATCTAATAGAAATGTTTACGTCGTGCAAAAAATAATTTTGTTTTTATAAAATTTTTTAGATTGATCTGGAATTCAAATTGTTATTTCCGAAAAGTGCTAATAATTTTTTATCTAAGTTTCCTACGAGTTATACAAAAAAAATTTTAATATATGCTAAAAACTGTCGACCTGCGTTGTACCGTGAATCTCAGAGTATAAAAAATGGTAAGAATTGCTCTTTACTTGATACATTATTCTTTTTTTCTTTCAATTTTTACTTTAAAAAAATTCAGTATTAATTTATTGATCATGCTTATCACTATACAACTCTAAAAATTTATCAATTTTATCAAAGTTGATCATATTTTTCTTATTTTACTAGATGATTTTCGAGCTCTTCTTTTGCTGGTTGAATTACTTCCGGTTGCTAATTCAGTCAAGACTCGCAAGGGTCAAGGAAAAGGCAAGGATAAAGATAAAGAAAACAAAGGAAAGGGAAAGAAAAGACTTGCCGACGAAGATAATGAGGAAAATGAGCCGTTAGAAATAAATTTTCCTAATAAATATCTACTGAGACTTTCACCTGTAAGTATTGTTTAAATTTCTTTCTTTGTCAGCCGATATCGAAATATATTGAATTGTTTTATTGATATTATCTTCTTACGTTTCTAGGAGGGTACAAATCTTGAACAATTTGCACGAGACATTCGTGCTAAAAGCAAAACAAATGTTCAGCCTTACTTAGTCACTGTAGCTAGTCAATCATCCAGTGCAAGCACATTTATTAATGGAGATGGTTGGTTTCTGAATGTGCCTGACAATGGTAACAGCGCAATAAGTTTCGATCTACTGTACAAAATTTTTTATGTGTTTAACCTCGATTATCCGGATAGTCTACGAAATTTTTATAATTTCATGGACTTTTACATCTATGACATGGATGTTAAGCCATTCAACATTGTTTCTTCTGTTCATGTCAACATAACTAATGTCAATACTCAAAACGGTGATTCTGAAGGCAATGATGATTTAGGCTCTGATAAAAATTATCAATATTTTAATATGCATGTCAATAATATTTTATATAAGTGTGACAACGATTTGAAATAAATAAAAATTTCACTTTTTCATAAGTAGAAATTTGACTTTTTTATTAGTGGAATTTCCACTCGTTTATTTATTCAGTAAAAATCAATTTTACTATACATTTAGTAGAAAATTTACTTTTATATTTGTAGGATTTAACTTTTTACTTAGTGAAAATTTACTAATTCAATTTGTAACGATTGTCACTAATTGAAAAAGTGAATAATTACTAATTACGAGTCGTATACTTTGGACATCATAAAAAAGTAACTATTGACTACTAATTAGTAGTTTTTGACTAATTCAGCTTTAGAGAGTATGTTAACAATCGACTGAAAATTTAATGAACAATTAGTCAGTCATTGTTAATAATAAATTTGTAATTTTCGAATTGTTTATTCTTATCTCTTAATATTTAAAATTCTGTTTTATTTTATAATTCTATTAATTAACTATTCATTTGAGTCATTAATTTACTTCTAATTGTTTATTGCTCTTAACATTTAAATTCTATTTTGTTTAATAGTTTTTTATTTAACTATTCATTTTGAGTCATTATTTTACTTCTAGTTATATATTACTCTCAACATTTAAATTCTATTTTGTTTAATAGTTTTTTATTTAACTATTTATTTTGAGTCATTATTTTACTTCTAGTTATTTATTACTCTCAACATTTAAATTCTATTTTGTTTGATAGTTTTTTTATTTAACTATTTATTTCACTGGTCTACAGTGGTTTTGTTGCCCTAGATATAAGATTGATTTTGGATATATTTATACTCACAATTCATGAAATTATGAATGATTTTGTAAGATTTGCTTTCGTTTTTTTTTAAATACTTATTTTTATTTTACATTACAAAAATCGAAAAACGAGAAACAAAATAACAGATATATTTATAATGTCAGTTTTATTTGGATAAAAATATGATATATCGAAGTAAATAGAGAGGAAAATTTGGAAAACATGTTATATTATCATAAAACGCCTTTTAAGAGCTTTTCTTTTATAATTTTTCCGGGGAAAATCTCTTTTTAAAGACCAGCAGTAATCTGCCATCATATAACAGTCCCATCGACCCTGATATCTTTCTTCCATTACTTTCAGATCCTAGTGGAACCGCTTTCTTGTTCCTCACTATAATTTCCTAAATTATCTAGAAATTTATCCAAATGATTGCGGAGATAGTGTAAATTGATACTCATATTTGCTCCTAGAGTCTGAAAGTTTGTCAGCATATTTTGTACAATTTCTTCATAATTTAGTGCTTTATGGTTACCTAGGAAATTTTCAATTACCAACACAAAACTTTCCCAAGCTTCACTATCCGGAACAGTCATAACTTTAATAAAATCTGCGTCTTTTATCAATTGCCGTATTTGAGGACCATCAAATATTCCACCTTTCAACTTTTCCATACTAAGCTTCAGAAATTTTCGACAAATGTATTTAAAAAAATCCCCTTCCTTGTCCAAATCTTTAACGAATTGCTTTTCCATTCCTAACTTAATATGTAATGGTGAAAGTATGATTTTGTCTCTGTTCACCAACGGTTCCCTTATGACATTGGCTTTACCGACAGTTAGAGAATTTCTTGCAGGCCAAACATCTTGTTCCCAATGAAGTTGCTTTGCTCTACTGTCCCACATACAAAGGAAGCAAGGGTATTACGTGTATCCACTTTGTTGACCAAGTAAAAAATTAACCATTTTCAAATCTACACAGATCGGCCATTGATGCTCCAAGTATTTAATTTTTTCTAAAACTAATTTTACATTTTCATATCCTTCTTTGAGTTTTGTTGAATGGGCAATTGGAATTGATGCAAATTTATTTCAATTGTGCAGTAAGACGCATTTTAAACTTCTTTTACAGCTGTCAATAAAAAAGACGCCACTCAGTAGGTTTGTATTCTTCCAAGCCCATGTCTAAAAGCAGCTTCGCAATATCAGTACAATATACCAGTCCTTCATTTTCATCAAAAAATTGTAATAGCTAACTTTCTCGCGTTCTGTATGTTGTAATTGTCTTTCTTCGCTCCGTCTTCCCCACTCACTCTCCGCGCCGGCGCTTCCCTCTTGGGGACTTACTCACTAACTTACAACTAGAGGCGCGAGTACTTCGGAGCACAGCGCTCTGGGGAATCAGTCGATAACTAACTCACGGATCGGAAACCTTCTCTGGGTAAAGAAGGCCCCGTGTACTCCGTTACAATCCAGATCATAGGAATACCAAAGTCTAATCCAAAACGTTTTCCTTTTTTCCACAACCGCAAAGACTCAAGACAGGACTTACAAACTTTATTCGGAACCCATGATTTATCTAATTTGTCCATTTTAAAACCGAAATATTAAGCCTAAGTCTCCTTAACAAAGTCTGTGATATTTCGTTTTTGTTTTTTTAATATATTTATATATTTATATATTTATAAATACCACAAATATAACAAAATAAATCACTATTATATTTACACTTTCTTCGTGACGAACTCATGTTGAAAAAGACAAGATAAATGTATTAGAATGAACACTCAGCAATTGAATCTAAATATTAACATATGACAACTTATCCAGATTCACGTGTAAGTACTTCAATATTATCAAATAACTGAGTTATCAGCTGTTTTGCGAAGCAAGGAGTCTAAGAGTGGAGATCAAGTGATGTTTGTATGCGCAAAAAAGTTGCGCAGAAGCTTAATCAGGACTGGGAAAACAAATTTTAGTACTAACAAGCTGATAATTGTTCAAAATATAAGATACGTAAAAATCATAAAAAAAAGAGCACATTCAGCATTTTCGTGAATATATTCGTAATTTAGGTACTCGAAAACATAAAAATTTGCAAAAATATCCAAGGCAACACAAAAAAATTTTTTTTTTGTAGAGCTATGTTTCGAGTCATTATTTTACTTCTAGTTATTTATTACTCTCAACATTTAAATTCTATTTTGTTTAATAGTTATTTATTTAACTATTTATTTTGAGTCATTATTTTACTTTTAGTTATTTATTACTCTTAACATTTGTTTTAACTAAATTATTTTAGGCTATAATTTAAAAGTGTTGTTCAAGAATTTTACCTATTATCGAAAAATTATTATCTTTCTAAGCTTAAGTTATAATCTTTTTATGATATGTCTAAACAGTAGACCCGAAGATATTTCTTAATGAACTTATAATTATGAAAATTTCCCAGTCCGGACTTTAGTGCCACAGTGCATTTAAGGGCAGCTTTAGATTCGAAAATACCCCGATAACATCTTCCAATGTTTCTTTCAAACGGCTACAAGTTCATTTACGTATACAAAACTCCCATTTACTTGTTTGTTAAACTTTAAAATCTTAAATGCATTGAGGTTCCGGACTAAGTACCTAAGTAAGGGACATAGATCCTAATTATCCTATTACCTGGCCTACGAACGAACGAAAAATTATGACGGTGCTTACACGCTGTGGCATTTTCCGCCGGGCTTGAGCACACTGGTGTCGGAGGCTCCGCCAGATGGCGGCACCTCCTGGGCGAATAAATTAAAGTTGTTAGAAAATAAGATTTAGTTTTAAGTTTGTATTATATTTGATATCTTATTTCAGCCCAAAACGCGATCGAGGTGATCGCCGGCGACTAAAAATGTCAAAGAGACAAATTTGATCATTCAGTTTAAATGATTAAATTATTTAATTAAATCAATTTAAAAGTTTACGGGGCTCAAGTGAGCAGCCGACGGGCCTGAGGGCGCCTGAGGTCCCCAGTTCGGAGCATACGAGCCTGAAACTTAGTTCAAATTTATGTTTAAAATTCACGTTTGGTCTATTTGTTGAATGATTATTTAAACGACGGTTATGATTGTTATTAAATCAGTATTTCACGTGGGTATCGGCTTGATTCATGTCTCGGGGGAGAATTATTTATCACACGGTGGAATTGAACTTTTCAAAAACAACACTGGCATTGACCGAGGTGACGGAAGGCCCCTCGAGATGGCAGGTCAGTTGTTGTAGCTGGCAGCATGCTGCCGGTGAGGATAGCGGTAGTCACAGGCGTGAAATAGAACTTAACGCATCAGTGTGCCCAAGCCATCGCATTATAATATCATTTATAATTTTGTTTAATCAATATAGTGATTGGTTATTGATTTTTATCCACCGAGAGTATTTTGACCAGGTGATTTGATAAATTTCGGTAAGTCTTTGGCATTATTCCACCGTGGTGATTGTTGAGATTCTCCCAAGTAGGATCCAACGCCGGTTTCCCACGTGAGGCCGCCATCTTGGCCACGTGGTTGGTACATTGCAGATTAATTGCGTTGAATTATTTGATAATAAAATTAATCACATGTATAATCAAACGTGAGTTAATTTATTAAATAAAATTAAATAAAGGCCTCTCGGGGGAAATTTCACGGCGGTTGATCACCTGATCGCGTCCTGTGGCTCGTGTCAGAATTTTATTGCGCAGTTATTAAGATATAAATGTTATACTGCGATATTTTTGTAATTATTTTCCACGCAGTTTATTATTATTATTGCATTTATAATTTTCCAGAGCGATTAACGCTGTTTATTAATTATCGCAATTATATTCCAAAAGCGAATAACAATTAATGCAATTAAATATCAATTAATATTAAAATTATTGAATCGGATATTAATCTATAAATAATATTAGTGGACATTATTTATTATTACTGTTGTTTATGCTTTGCGATTGAATTTTTGGAAGTCAGTTACGCAATGTGCGATTAACGTTATTTTGTTATAATTATCACTAATTCTGGAAACAGTGAGATTAACGACATTGAATGTCGAATATTGAAAATTAATTTATAATTGACGAGACGAATATTATTTTGTATTATTTGTGAATGTTATTTTGCATTATTCACGAACGACATTTTTGCATTGGTTACAAGTATTATTTTGCGTTGTTTAAAGCTATTATTGATAAATATTGATTACCACCGCTGATATTTTTGTGAGCTAATCATATTTAATATTATTTAGATCTGAATATTGTAAGAATT